GCCCGGCCCGCCCGCGCCCGCCCCGCCCTCGCCCTCCGACACGTGCTCCGCGTGGATCTTCATGCGGCAGCCTGAGCCATCACAATAACAACCTCCATAACGACGGACAACAAGGCGACGCCCGCCTCGACGCCTTAAAACGCCGCGCAACGCGCTGCATGCTCGTAAATGAGACCTAGGTATAGCTCAAATCAAATCGTATGAAGTGATAGGGCGGAAGTAAATTCAAACAATCTTTTTAATATTTTTTATAGCCTACAGTCAAAAAAGGAGAGAATGGAGAAGGACGTGGACTAATTGGCGCGATAAAAATAAAATAAAACAGTTATAATATAACCACTCACGGCGACACTCGTAGGCTTGCGGCGGCCGGAACATGTGCCAGAGCGGGCGCGTGCAGACCTCGCAGGCCGTGGGGATGTGGTACGTGATGCTCACCAGGTCGTGGCCCTTGTGCTGCAGCGGGGCACCTGCACACGACACACTATACGCCACTGGCCACTACCAAATATATCTACATCAAAATTAATTCCAATTTCCGAATAAGACAACATTATCGGAAAATTTGGTAAAGAGCGGGGCTTCCAATGCTATGGCGAGTCGCTAACTAAAGTTGTGCCCCGTACAAAACAGGGGCAAGTCGCTACCAGCTAAAAGGGTTACATTTTAACCGCACTGTGTCCGAACCTGTCTCCCGTGCTAGAAAGTGGCCAAGCAGAATATTTTTACATACATCGCACGATGTCACCCTTTACAATTGGTTCGATTGTGATAAAGTGCATGTTGCAGTATTCATGCTTAGGTTTTAAATCTATTAAACATGCTGGGCAATTGACAACGTCCAAAGCATATAAAAGGTGACAAATGTCATCCACAGTTAGACGTGATGTGAGCGCATTGGAATTCTAAAAAATCTAGCACTTGAACTCATTATTAGCGTGCGCGACCATTTAGTAACACAAAATTAAACATTTAAGAATGTCAAAATATTGCTTACGATTTTAAATCGTGTTCTATTCTTGATTGCTTTTTAAATGATAGTGAATAGTGTAAGCTCATATATGACTGTAAATATTGTGCACTAGTGCAAGTAAAGATATGCACTAACTTTGTATATAATCTGCAGCGAACACTACATTAGGAATGCACCCGTTGCTACGCCAGCAGATACGGACGCCACAAACATCGGTCGACTGTCATACTAGAGTAGAATACGTGCTTTTTCACTCATGCTGCTAAAGTTTTTTGGACATTTTCCTTTACAATATTGAGCAATTAAAAATGTTCCTGCCATAAGTATATATAGGTAAAATAAAAGGAAAATAATATTGAACCCTTTGAGTACCGTCATTATAGACACAATTAACTCGTCGAGTACCGGTTTTGTAGACACAATTATAGAACAATAGGTTGCGGTCACCGGTGACCGCTTGGTGTTTGACAGTTTAAAGAACAAGTTTGCGGTCACCGGTGTGTTCGTAATAACGAACCTAACAAATGTTCTTACAAATAATAAGACAAGTTTCTTGACAATGATTGTACACGCAACCAATGATGAAGTTATACAGGCCGCCAAACAGTACCCGGCGATAAATATTGCCACACCAACTTTTGGAAGTTTGCGTATAGTACCGAGGCATTCATTCCATTCGTTTGAGACTAATATCGTACATTTCCATTAGACATTATCTATTATCTTTCTTTATAGTGAACTTCTATCTTTATAAGTATTTTTCTTTGTCTTATCGGGACCATTGTAAATAAATAACGTGTCGAGGTGCACTATCCATTGCCGGGTACTTTACTTAATATTGTCATACACTTAAAGTGATGTATAATATGTAATTATGTATGAATAAGTTACCAGCATGGTCCCCCGCCTCTGCAGGTGTGTCGGCGGCGTCCCCAGGTCTCCTGGCCTCTCCCTCGCCTGCATACAAGAGCTGGAAGATGCGCGGGATGTCCTTCGCGTCCGCTCGGATCACGTCGCCCTGGGTCACTGAGCGCACGTGAAACACCTTGCTGCGGGGATATATTGCATTATAATAACACTGTCACACATTATTTTATGTATATTAGAGTTTATAAATAAACATTCCCGAGAGAAACGAATTTCAGGTACGGACTTATTAAGGTTCTCTTTAAAACCAATACTAGCATGCCGTTATATTTATGCACAAACCTCAAATCCAAAATCATGACGGGGTCAGTGGTGTTCTGCTTATCATTCTCGGTGTTGTAGAAGATGATCTTCTTGGAGGAGACGACGACGTACTGTTTCTTCCACCCGTGTCGTCGTATGTTCTGTTTGAATGGTACAGAGAGCCAGCCCTCCAGTGTCTGCTCGGTCTCTCCGTCCTCTGCGTCGGCGGACGACTGCGACGCTGTCTCACTTGTTAGAGCTGCCAGTTTCTCTTTCAGCTGTTCAATCTCTGCATCTTTGCTGTCAACCTACAAATATAAAAATGTGATGTGTAATATAAACGATAGGTATATTGCTATCCCGGAGTGAGCACATGGGTAAAGAAGGAATATTGATAATTTAATTTTATATGAAAAAAAAAGGATGTGGACTGTCTGCTCCTTGATGTTCTCCTTAGCTATTTAAGAAATAATTATGACTTTGATTTCAAACCCAAAGTTACTTAATGTTAAACCTATAGAGTAAAGAGTAGACGCACCTCCATGGCGAGTCTCTGTCGCGTGGACTGTTCGTCGAGCAGTTGTTGCTGACAGTCCTGCAGGTCCCGCTGTAACTTGGACATGTGTTGGTCGAACTTCTCCTTCTCCCTCGTCAGCTCCTGCTGCAGCTTGCGGTAGTCCTTGTCCTTGCGCACTGACATCTTGCTCTTGTTCTTTGTCGCTGCTGGGTTCATGTCTTTCCTGAAAGGTGTATACGACATTTGAGTACTAACTCCAGATATATCTAAAGAGATATTATTGCATTCCTTTCATCAGGAAAGTCGACAAAATGTAGTTACAGCTGCACATTGCTTGTTATTATAAACTGGAGTCTGACCTGTTCATGATCTCGGCAAGTTTGTTGACAGCTTGTTGCTTGAGCATGATCTCGGAGTTAAGTTTCTTGTTGAGTCGGTCGACGTCTTCCTGCAGTCGCTGCAGCGTGGCCACGCGCTCAGCCAGGGCTGTGCCATTACGACGTAACTCGTCAACCTCCTGGAAACAAATGATTATTTAATAAGCTCACAAATATATTTGCTGATGTTGTGCAAGATCACGCGATAAAATTCGCAAAGAAAGAAAACAATATGATTTTGGAAATATTAATCTTTCACCAGATCACGATACCTAATATATGATTCAGCAAAAAATACCTGGTGTCTATACGATTTAGTTATGTAGGTATGATAGATTCACCTTCCGCTGCAGGTCGATGGTTGCTCTGTTCTCATGGTCCCTGTCCCGCAGCCCCTGCAGCATGGCGTCCCTCGCGGCGAGATCACTGCGGTGCTGGGACATGGCGTCACGCATCTCCAGCTCCTTCATTGTCTTCTCCTTTTCCAACTCCCCGACTGTCTCCTCGGCGATAGACCTGCAATATTCAAATAATATAGGTTTTAATGACTTACAGCACTAGTTCTAAAAAAAATCAACGATTGCATCATTGGAACCAAAGGAACTTTAAACAGATGACGAAATTACATCTAGATATATGATAATTATTAGACTTATTTGTATACTACAAATATCTCCATCGATGTGAAATACGACAACCGCGTTAAGTTATTCTATTGTTATTTTGGAAGGCAAAATTCAAGTAATGGTGAGTCACCATCACAGTATAAAAGAATTGTTAAGTGTACAATATCACCATCATGTTTTCACAGAAATGTTTAAGTGCACATCTTTTCAGTATCAATCTAACTTACAGAATTCGTTTATAAAAAAGTAAAGATACTTTACAGGGAAACTCTGTTTTCCTTTATAATATTAGTCATTAACTCACAATGCGCTTCTACTCGGTGGTCCCTAGTAGAGTGAGTACAGACTACAGACCTGGCGATGGCCTCGGAGTCAGCGCGTGCGATGGCTAGCTGCAGCTGATGCAGCAGACTGGAGCGCTCCTGCTCGGCGTCGCGCGCCGCGCGCGTGTTCTCCTCCAGCATCAGACGCATGTCGTTGGCCTGGCTCTTGTACACGAAGCAGTAGTGTTGCTCTGTCTCTAACTGCTGCCTCAGCTCCTCGCTCTAACATAAACGACATCAATTTTAATATCAACTCACGCCTTTATATTCTAGTTAATAAATAAAAACATCACATACACAAGACATCCAGTTCCTTGTATATCGTAGTGAAGTCATCTTATTTTCAAAAACAAAATTAAATACGTAAAACAAAACAATTGTTTCGACACATTAAACTCGAGTAGAGTAAGAAGTAAGTTCAATGACTATCTGAATAGAATGGTAAAGGCTACCATGACTGAAATGCAGAACAGAGGGGAGGTCAATTGTGTAACCAATTGAGTAAGAATTTAGTATTTTTTCTTTGGCTATTAGTATTACAGTAGCAAATTAATTGCAGCATACACACGCATACACAGCGCCGGACACGAATTGGTTGACGTCACCTCTAATCGGCACTCTACCGTCGCCTATGAATTTATAGATTTTACTTATCTAATTCCTTTTCTTTATTATATCTACTCAATATTTCTAATTTTTTATCTCAATTTATGATTAAATAAGATAGTTATAGTGAAAAGAATTATGCAAGTCGTGTCATTGGCGTTACTAGTCTTTGCGTATCTTAAACGGCTACAGGCGTGATGATACGTTTTAAATGAGTCTTCTGTATTTAGCCTACATGGCGGAAACATCCATGTTAGAGAAAGAAGCCCACAACTGGCAATGTGAATACGTGACTTATTATATTACACTATGTTGTTTAGCAGGTAACTATACCTACTATAATATAACTCGGTAGAGTTAGACCATACTATGTTTTCTCTAGAATTGATTACGTGTATGAGTCATTATTTTTATTGTAGTACTGACATAATCGCGCAGCTACAAGGGACATAAAGCTCGCGTTATAATATTATCTTAACATCTTATTATTCATTAATTGTTACGTTTCTATTTCAAGTGACTCACTTTAGGATAAAATATAAGTGTATGCAATGGAAATGCTTGAAATTACAGCTGTAATATTATTAGCAAAGATTAATCGTTTTACGGTGTTACGGATATTTTAATTATTACAAAAAACTATAATATCATTCGTAGTGGGTAGCCATCACATTCAACAAGGTTTTCTGTTTGAATGTACATTTAGCAACACAGTATAATGTTAATTAGAGGTCTGTTTAAGTATTTCAAGTTTGTTATTTATAAGTGTTTTCACATTGTTATGAATCTACATACAAAGTATGTGTTTAGCTGAGGTGTTCCTAAGAAAACATTACATTTACAATTTATTGTCCAACGATACACATCCCAGTTGAAGATGACCAGGAAATTAACACGACAATAACACATTCCTGTATATTAATGCGTGTCATCATCATAATGGAAGCGTTTTATAGGCATGTCTTCATTGCCAAGGCTCTGTTTGTACAGCACTTGTGTTCAACTAATTCATAACTCTACACTGATTCAACCAACTCTTTTATTACCTACTGCGAATAGAGTAATATTCACTTTTGAAGTAATGCACATATTTTCCTATTTTTTGTAACACTACTAATATAATTGTCATCCTAGGTATTTGTTTCAAAACAGAAAATCCAGCGCACAATATTTGAATGTGTTCTATTTTGAGAACAGTTATGCAACTCATTGGGCAAGCATCTAATCTAGATACTAGGTAAACATTTTAATTCCAGGAAGGAAGCCCTTGGCTTTTAGATAAATTCTGTTATATTCAATACAATTTACTTATTAAATTGTAAGGTGGAAATAGATCTCTAGTTTTAAAGCAATATAACGTACACATTTATAATACAAAGTTTTAATCTGTTGAGCCAATCTTAAATGTTTGTGTCATAAATATCAAGGTCAAGAAGAATACCTACATTTCATACTCGGGTAATTCGTGCGACTAGCGGTATGAGACTTCACTATAATATATTTATTCATATTCTATCTCGGAATATACAATTGTATCTACCAAACTGTACACTCAGCTACGCGAGTGTACTTTGAAATAGATAGCCGTGCTGTTACAATTTGATAAAGTTTAATGTAGTTCTCAACAGTCACTCTGTTGTGAAATTAATTAATCTGTTTGGGTTTGTGAACTAATTTTACAACAATACAATCGAGTCCTCAACTATTGAATGATTTATTTTCACTACTATGACTATATATTTTTAAATTGTCAACGTTTACATTCCTTGAATTTTATGAATAAATGGTATTAATTGAGCAAATCACATCATAATCAATGAGTAAGGCGTTCAACTCTAGAAAAACCGCTGTCTACGTAATCATGTGTTTATTTATTTGGAGACGAGCGCACGCGCAGGTTTATGTCGTATAAGGCAAAAGCTGTGTATGTGTGAATGTTTGCCGTCGACAATGAGTCACTATGTTGTAATGCTGGAGGACAGTCTATTTCGGCGCGATGAGATTATGATTAATTCACAAGAAACACTCAGAGAATTCGTTAAGTTTGTCGATCAATAGGTGGAAGCTATAAATAGACTTGTGTGCACCATTATATTATCAGTCCGTTGCGTGTTATAACATCACTGAGTTCCTCCTGTTGTCCATTTTCAGTAGTCAACCACAAAGAGTGCAACGAGTTACTTATTAAAAACATTTCTTTTTTTAATATTTTAACTGTACTACCTAATCCCATATATTTCGGTCCCATTCTTACAAAATATTTTACTAGCTTTATCTCTGGAATAAGACCTACATATTTACGGGAAGAATACTTGACTGGATGGGTTCATTGCCTATACATATTAGCCAAGAATAGGTGTATATTGTGGCCATAACCATTTTATAAAAATATGTAATTTTTATAATTCTGAGAGCCGTGCAGTTGCAATAGTTGCATAAACGAACGTACCTAATAATCATAAGATCTCTTGCAACTTTCTGTAAGTGCCACGCTTATTTTTATATTGTGTTCCCAAAGAAGGAACCCGAACCCACCAAACCAACAGGAATATAATTTGAGGTACTGTCTAAAAGTCTCTCATGTCGGCAGGATGACCGAGATGTAGGGTGGGAAGTGGCAGCGATCACTCACCCTGGCGCAGTGCATGTCGCGCTCGGCGGAGGCGGCAGCCAGCTTCTCGGAGGTGTCGTGCAGCGCGGCGCGCACGGCGTGCAGGTCGCGGGCGCGCGCGTCGCGCTCGGCCGCCGCGGCGCGCGCCGCCGCCTCGGCCGCCGCCACCTCGCCGCTCGCCGCCATCCGAGCAGCTCGCTCCTGCTCCAACGAAGCTGCTAAACCCATTGCCTGATGAAACAGTCGAATTCCGCTGTATTACTACGCTCTTATAATATTAAAACTAACTTAAGGCTTCAGTTTTAATGTTGTAACCTTTTCAGTCTCCTGTCGATGTTCCCCTTCAAGTTTCTGAAGGCGCTGTTGCATCTGTCGGTAATCGACACTGAGCATCGACATCTGCCTGTCTTTCTCTTGACACGCAGACTCTGACCGTTGTCGCGCTGTCTTCTCCTCGTTCAGTTTGGATTGCAGAGCTGTTTTATAACATTGCAATTTATCCATAAATATACAAGTTACAATTTATTTCCTTTTGTATTTTTTTATATAAAAATAACATATTAAACATTCCAGAACTAATTTAATAATGTATTTAATTTAAAAAACAAATTTAATAAAAAGGATTTCAATTAGAAAAATATAAAAAATAGTAACAGGTCCCAAGCCAAAATTACTCAAAAGTGATACTACATTGGGCCTATGAAGATCAAATAAGGTAGGTAGGATCAATATTAGCAAACTGAACAATACCTTTAAATATCAATTCCAATGTTCCTGAGGCATGCAAAAAGTGAAGGTATGAAATATATTTTTGGGAGCTTATACAGTTTAGCTCATGTAACCATGAAAGGATTAATAGCGTAGGCTAGATGGCGGGAAGTAGAGATCGTGGAATACTAACACTCACCCTTGACTAGCTCCAAATTGGCTTCTTGTTTAGAGAGCAATTGAGACCGCTGCGTGTCCTGGTGCGCACGTACTTCCTGCTGGTACATGTGCTTGGCTGCACGGAGCTCGTGTGCCAGAGAGGCACATTCCTTCTCCAACGAGGACACTCGCTCTGAAAGCTGCCTATTGTCGGCCATAATTTGATTTAGTCGAGTCGATGCTCGTTCGAGCTCTGCGTGAGCGGCATTCAATCTGCTGGTGGCTTCTGCGACAGCTGCGTCACAACGTTGTTTAGCTGCCTTTACACCAGCAAGTTCTTCTGAGAGAGTACTTCGTTCTCTTTCTAGGTTATCGCGCTGAGCACGCAAGCTGGCCACCGTGCCGTCGTTAACAGCAGCGGCAGCTGCCTGCGCGGCAGTCAGTTCTGCAGCTTGTTTCCGTGATTTGGCAGCAGCTTCGGACTCTTGTTTTAATTTCTCGCGCAACTCTGTCAATTGCATTTCTAAAGCGTTAATTTTATCATTGTATGTCTGTAAATTGTTTATTTCCTTCGCTCGTTTACTTTGCTCCTCGTCGAGCCGTCGTTTAGCTTCGTTATAATTAAATTCAGCTTTTCTCCTGGACTCTGCTTCTATGTCAGCCTTTCTTTGTAACTCTTTCAGATCGTGACGTAATAGTGCTAATTCTTTGTCTGTGTCAGCTAATATTTTCTTATTTCTAGAATCTCTCTGAGAAAAGTCTTCAAGTTGAGCACATAACGTGACTTGAGTGTCTTCCAACTTTCTTCGACAGTCCCTTTCTCTTTCGAGAAGTTTTTCCAGTTGCAATATGGCTTCAGATCCAACATTATTAATATGATTATTAGAGATAGTATCTACCACATCGGCTGCCTTTAATCCTCTCGCGCATAACTGATAATCACCATTATAAGTAAAACCTACAAAAGGCAAATGGTTACCAACAAATGCTTTGGGCACAGGAAAAGATTCATCCAAAGCATCAGACTTTTCCATGTCATCAAAATTCCTTGTATCATCATCACTAGATAATTCAGGCACAACTGGTGGTACAGAGTCTCTCAAGTTTTCAAAACTCCACTGGTCATTGATGAAAAATGGATGTTGCTTAATCTCATTAACACTATTTTTGCCCAATCGTTTGATTCTGTCTGTTAGAAGACCTCTGATTAGAGATTTGGCATCCTTTGAAATTTCTACATCATCTGGAAACTGAAGTGAGTTTCTGTGATCCATAATTTTGCCATATGTACCAACTAAACTGTCTGCATAAAAAGGAGGATCTCCTATGAGCATTTCATATAAAAATATTCCCACAGCCCACCAGTCACATTCACGACCATAAACTCCTTCACCATTCTGTGATTGCAACACTTCAGGTGAGATGTAATCAGGAGTACCCACTGCATTACTTGCCCGCACAAGACCATCAGGTCCCATTCGCATGCATGTACCAAAATCAGCTAGCTTTAGATGTCCATATTTATCAATTAACATATTATCTGGTTTAACATCACGGTGTACAAAGCCCATACCATGAATAACGTCTAGTGCAAGGACAATTTCCATAGTATAGAATTTAGCCCATTTTTCAGGTATATCATAGTTGGACATAAGGCTAACAAGATCACCGCCAGGCATGTAATCCATCACCATGTAAAGGTACTTGTGGTCTTGAAAAGCAAAATGAAGTTTTAATATCCACTCGGAGTTAGCATGTGCCATTATGTGTCGTTCCTCCCAAAAAAATGTAGAATCAGATCTCTTGATCATTTCAACTTTACTGAGTAATTTCATGGCATACACTTGACGTGTAGACTTGTGTCTGACTAGTTGCACTTCACCAAATGCCCCACGGCCAATCACTTTTATTAAATCAAAATCTGCTGCTTTCATGCGCAGATCTACAATGTCTGAAGCAAAAGCCTCATCTATAACAATAAGAAACATTTCATTAATACCAGTATTTAAAGTTATTTTGGAAGGCAAATGTTTTATTAATACATTATTGATTATGTTACTATTCATAATAATAATATTTGGAATGTTAACAACATTTCTCCTACTACTATATGATCACAAAGGAAAGTTTATATTGCAACCTTGTAATTCAATACTTGGATTAACACATTTTTTTAGATTATAAATAATGTGTGCACAACTTTAATTTTAACTTAATTTTTTTGTAAGCAGTTTTACTAGTCAGAAAAATAATTAAAACCAATTAGGTTAAGCCCTGAGAAGTACTGTTAGCAAATAATAATAATATTATTTATGTTTGATGAAATCAATGTCTGTATTATGTTTATAGACTATGATATCTAGCAATCAATTTAATAATGACATGATACACTTAATTCATGTAATATAAAATTGCAGTTGTGTTTATAACACTGTGATGTACTTTTCCATCCAATTGTGACACTGTGATATGTCACTGTTTCCAGGTGTAACAAAGATCAAATGATTTAAAATATTGTTTTTTTATTATAATAAAACATAGTCTATCAACAATGATGATTGTTGCACTAGCTTGATACCATTGAAAATATCAAATACCAATTTAACAACGAAAAATAACTAACTTTCAAAACTATGTTAAGAATGAAAATATGCGAAAGATGTAATATACTCATCACAAATCTCACACCATGTTTACAATTATCAATAATCTCCAACTATCATACATGAGTACTAAGTGTTATCATTCCTTAATTGATTACAACATGTAAACTAATCAAAACAAATCCATAACATCCATTTGCACATTAAATATTAATTAATATCATCTTTTTGCACACATTAACCATCACATTTTTACCAGAACTACATAAATTACTTTGATTAAATTAAATTAATAAAATTTTCAAATATTTTCTTGAAAATATATTTGACTAACACTATGTAGGGGATTTTAAAAACGATGACTCCCACAATTTCAGATTATAGTAAGGAAAAATACATGAGTGTACTGGGTCATGTATACCACAAATTCAACAAAATGTCTCATAACATTAGGTTAAACCTGCTTACATTTTGATGATTCTTTTACAAAATTTTGTATTTTTTAGGTGTAACTTGATGTTGTTAATGGAATTTTAAAATAGTTAATGCAGCAATGCAAATAAATGCAAACTTTAGCACTTTAATCACCAACAACTTGTATATCAACAATATGTTCTACCTATTTGGTCAAAACTTTGTCAATGTTGTTTCTTTTGTATGTATAACAACAACTACTCAAATCTTATTAGAAAACAACATTTTTAATGAGACTAGTAAAATTTAATGAAATCTTTCTCAACTCCTGAGTTTCAATATTGGTCATTAGTACTTACATCTGCTCGTGTATGCCTCGACATTCTTCATGCGACGGATAGCCGGGTGGTCACAGTCGGAAACGAGAGCAGTCACGGTGTCTAGCAAGCAGTCCACGTTGCCTGGGGAACGAGGGTCACAAAGCCGCTCCTCCAGGGCACGCAGCCGCCGCAGACGTTCTTCGTCCTTCACCGATTCCATGCTGGATCCTATTTCTGACGTCCTCTGCCACTAAGGCTAAACGCCACCGCACATTCTCCCGATGACTACTCCGAGTAAGAACACCACTCTCATCACGACACATCAACAACTGTATACTGATTTGTTATTCTTACACTCTACTTCTGTCGATAACCTACCATTTAAAGGATAACTTATGTTTCATTATCGAAAAATTCAGTTGCTACAGTTCAGAATGACAGCAGATAAAGGTGGTGGTTTCTCACAACAAAGCATATGCACGTTTGCAAACACAACAGGATGATTATTTACATTTATAAATATCCATAAACTTTTAACGGGTTAAGATCACTAAATTAATAAGAAGATTGGCACAAATATTGAAAAATTAAGAAAAATTACGAATTATTCGACCGCTTGATTGATGAACGATGGATGATCGAACAATAAAGTGAAGTTAGATACAAATTTTTAGGAGTAGTTCACAATAACGTTTCGTTTTTTTACAAAACATAAGCTAGGAATACATTCGTCATTTAACCGAACGAAACCTCTATTTTAGTTGCAATTACTTTGGTACTATATAAATAACTAAAACCACCATATAGTAATTTATTTAAAAGGAAATTATTTTTGATTGTATAAGGTTCTATGTCCTGAAACTAGTTGATAGATAAAAAAATATTTATTTTTGACTAGGAAAGTATGCTGCAGTTCTTGAGTTCTCGTTTTGTATAGATAATTTTATTCAAAATGATTATATTGCCTAACTAGCATTCAGCTAATCATCACTATTGTACTTAGCACCAGCTAAGTGTATAACTTATAGTAAGCTCTAAAGCTTAGTTTAGTAGTAAGCTTATGCAAAATGACTTACCGTACAATCTTATCACAAAATAAATTACAAACTTTTTTATGTTGTTATTGTGTTAGAATTGTATACGACCATCATCCTTCCTGGCTGCTCCTATGCGTAGAAACAGCAAAAAATTAGTCTCCGTTTGATAGAGTCAGAGTTTTAGTTACTAATTTTCGAAAAGTAGACAACTGTACGAAAACGTAATAGATTCATAGACAAAAGTAGATGATGATTTTGCAAAGGATAATCAGTCATTCGTGTTCTAATTCATTCATTCAACATTTTGTTCATCGAATCGAATGGAACATGGCGGTGCTAGGCAGGATGTGCATAAGTTTTTGATTTTTGCATTTTTAACGAGTTGCTTATATCAGTTAACTTTCTAAATAATTTCTGACTTATTTCGTGTGTTATAATATTTGTTATAGTGTAAAAGCTTATTCACCCCAGGAATTTCCTGTCTGGACTTACTTAGTTCTGCAATGAAAATTATTATTCGTTGGTAGTGTAAAAATAATTGTGACAAATATATCACTTTGCTTCAGGTAAACTGTTGTTTTATGTATTTTTATTATTTTGTATTAACCATAGTTTATACTAAGTTCTCGTAATCCGAAGTTTCATCCCATAATTAGTCAATAAAAAGTTACGAGCCTGCCCCATTTTGGTTCAAGTTCATTCTCGTGTTATTTTGTTCTATAATAATTTTATATTTTGGTATGTGATCGAATCGTCATTGATATCCATGGAGTTGTGAAAGACAATCACATGCATTAAGTAATATTTGCGATAAATTTTCATGATCACTGCTTTTCTTTGTGGTCCTTAATCACGTGTGGATCAGGTCGTTATGGGGTCAATAACTGCTGACTACGGATTATTTTATTAGCTTTTTTCGCTTAACGGAGATTGTAAATTATTAGGAATTCTGTAATTTTATTGAGGCGATATTTGTAATATAGATAATAAGATGACAAGTAGATGGTTAAGCTCTTAGTTTTAATCTGATGCAAATCCTTTTTGTACGCAATTTTATTGTGGATTGGATGACCAGTATGTATTTATCAAAATATTATATATGCATAGGTATAAAAGTGCAAGCTAGGTGCAGGGCGCAGGATGTAGACAGGGGCGGTGGTAGTGCGGGGCGGGGGCCGGGGGCCCGTCCGCCAGTCAGCTGTGCAAAGTGTCATGTTGTCGCGTCGCACCGTACCGACCCGTGGGAAGTGGCCTAAATTGTGCCCCTCCATTGAATCTTGAAATTTGATTCTGTTATTGTTGCAAACTCTCTTATAAAAGATATATGGCAATTTGCTTGAATTAGTAGATTGCTATTTAACATGTAAAAAATACTTGAGTATTTAAGTTATGTAGATGCAGATAAAATTTTTCCTTTGTGGTAAACAAGTTTTGGTGAGTCTATAAACTTCAACCCTAAAAGTCATATGTGGTGATCACATCTAGCAAAATATTGTCAATGATCTGAATGAGTACCTACTCTAGAAAATACTTTCTCTAGTAATTTTAGCAAATATATTAATGAACTGTTTCTATTACTGTATAATTCTTGTTTAAATGTTTAATGAAGTTACCAAGTATGAATTTGAAATAACTATGCATCTAATATAAAATTGCATAATTTTGGCTAAAAGTGTGCCTTATGTAAATGTTTTCATTGTTTCGTGTATGTTTGCCATTTGCCATTGTTGTGCAATCAACAATTTTCAATAAAGTCCTCTTTATGGTTTACCGCTGCATGCTGACGATAACAGCTATAATCACACTTTTCTTGCTCTCAATGTACAAACTTAATCAGTATTTCATTATAATTGTTGATTCATATCCTCATATGTTATAAAAAGTATTATTTTATGAATGAATACAATTCCATTTTACATACTTGAATAGTTTGAAAAAGATTTTTTCTGTGGCAATTGGTTAAAAGAAAACAATATCATACATTTTCTTGAAATTAGTACAAGAGCTATCGAAGCAAATAATATAACACTGGTGTGCTTTGTTTGAGGGTTAAATATCTTATTTCATATTTCTACTCGAGACTATTTATAGCAATGTACTTGATGTACATCCACATAGTATAGTTACATATAACTAAGTTAACATGTTTATTAGGATTCAGATTTCATTGAGGTTCTGTTCTAATGATTACTTTACTACAATAGTGGATATGCCTGTCGGACTAGAATGAGCCATATTTAGGAAATCAATTAATCTTATAAGCTCATTTCTAATTACTGTATGATGTAATTGGACATTGAATTTCATACATTAATGATTTATTTCAGTGTGCCGTGTTGGTCATGGCTACGCTCATCCAAGAGAATGGTATAAAGGAGCTAAGTAAAGGCACACACGGAGTTGTGCCTAACCGTGGTATATCTTCACATAGTGTAACAAATCATATGGTGCCTGATCATGAATATTGCGAAGCTGGCTCAACTAGCACATCACAGATGCAGTGTACCGAGACAAATGAGGCGATGGCGCCACCCACCGCCATTGAAGAAGAGGAAGATACCCCAGAAATAGATATAATGATAAACAATGTTGTGTGCAGTTTTAGTGTTAAGTGCCACCTGAACCTTAGACAGATAGCATTAAACGGTGTTAACGTTGAATTTCGCCGCGAGAACGGCATGGTAACTATGAAGTTACGGCGTCCATACACTACTGCGTCCATCTGGTCGTCCGGCCGCGTGACGTGCACTGGTGCAACCAGCGAGGACCAAGCGAAGGTTGCCGCACGACGGTATGCGCGTGCACTTCAGAAGCTAGGCTTCCAAGTGCGTTTCCGCAATTTCCGTGTAGTCAATGTATTAGGCACCTGTCGGATGCCCTTTGGTATAAGGATCATATCTTTTTCGAAAAAATACAAGGAAGCAGAGTAAGTATATTTTAGCTATATTACTTTTGCAATAACTTACATTTTAATTCAATATTTATTCTTGCATCCAATTAGCTTCAAATGTTTTGTTTACAATTTTAAAGCATTCATCAAATGTGTTTGCCTAAGACTTTCATAAGCATTAGACAATAGCATTTTTCTGTAGTTTTTCAACAAACATCGCATAGATACACACACATAGGCATAATAATATTAGGTATAAATGTATTCAGCAGTGACTCATTAATTACTTATAGAATGATTAATTTTATGAAATAATTATTATTAAATACCTAAATCTGTTATATTCTACATCTAGTGTTGAGTCCAAAAATACTTATCAAACAATGCAAACTATGTAGAGTCAGGGTTCACATGAAATTGTTTATTTTTTGTGATAAATTAAAATGTCCCAACTTCGAATATTTATACTAAAATATTTGAGGTGAACAACTCTTAAGAAAACTAAGCAAACCACTTGTTTGAATTTAATTGACTTACAATTTCATGATCAAATTCAGAAACTAGTAATTGCATCTATAATTCAATTAATTATTTAGAGACTGTATACTGATTCTTAAAGAAAGCGATTTTTTTGTAATAACTTTGTATTTCTATAAAAACAAATGGCTTGAAATGTTTGTTCCCTTTGTTTTCAGCTATGAGCCGGAGCTCCATCCTGGAGTCACATACAAGTTATACAATCCTAAAGCTACACTCAAGATATTCTCTACCGGTGGTGTGACTATCACAGGTATATATATGTTTTATGTTCACTAATAAATTTATACATGTATTTCTGTAAAGAGGAAATAACAAAAATATTAATTTGATAAGTAGCCTCATAAAGTCAACATATTAGGTCATTCATTTTAAATGTGTAATAAAGTGAAAACAAAAAGATATTCATATTGCAAACAGAAACTATGTATAGTTTAGTACCAACCTATTGTTTTTTATATAGTTATTGGCTATATATATTTAATTACTTATTTCTAACCGACTGCCTCATTTATCGAGTGATCGCATGCAAGTGTGTTTGTCAAGCAAAAGATCTTGGGTACTATTTTTAAAAATAAATAGTAAGCACAGATGACACTTGTGATCAATGTATAGCAAATGGCTTATCCATTTTACATGGAACTCGATATAACTGGTTAAAAGGGTGTTTCATTTAAAATAACTACACATGTACTTGTTTGTCTATTTAATCAAGGATTAACCTCTTCACTGCTGGTATATAAGTATATAAGACACAATAGCAAATACATCGTGTCTCGTGTGGATCTGCGTTCCGGCACCCGACGGGTTAAAAGACACTTGTTTTTGTGTGTCATCCAAAATATTCGATTTTAATAATTACTCTCAGAATGTATTATTTTGTTACTGAAATAATAATCGTGTTAGCAACTAACCAATCATGTATGTCATTGCGTGATTGAGATAAAAGGTCGTTATTATAGTGTGTACTTATTAATGCAGCCTACGCAAATTTTAATTTTTAAAACAATAAAGTCTAACACATTCCTTTGTTAGACTTCGTCGTGTCGTTACTACAACGTTCGACTATTGGAATGACAATAAACACCTCATACCGTATACTTCGTGTGCGAATGTACTAACTTTGACGCAAGTTATATTTCTTATTCCGAAGTTTTCCTATAGCTCAATATTGATAAAATTTAATAGGATAAGAGCCACGTGGAACTATTATTGTTATAAACTTTAACGATAACAAATCATAACAAGAGTTACAATTATAAACCGACAGGAATTGATTCCGCAACACGTGTAGGGCCGTTTTAAACTTGCAACGGTGTTTATTACGTTAATTCAGATCAAGATCTAATAACTAGAAACTGAAGATAGATGTTAATAACAAAATTGTCATGATTTTAATAACAAAATTATTATCTGCAGCTCGGAGCGTGAGTGACGTACAGTCGGCCGTGGAACGCATCTTTCCGTTGGTGTACGAGTTCCGCAAGCCTCTAACTCCGGCGGATGAGGAGTTGCTGCGACAAAAGCGTGCAGCCCGCGCCGGCGTGCCAGCTCCTGCGCCCCCGCCCGATGATGACCCCATGCATTTGGTGACGCTGTCGGACGACGACAACGATGCCTGGGAATGACGCGCAGGGGCCGCGCGCGCCTCCGCCGCCCACTGAAGCTCCCGACGCGAAGCCCCGTGCGGGAACAAAACGAACTTTTATATTGGCATCGAAGCAATAACAGTCGGTTGTTAGTGCGATCGCGTGTGACTCGTCGGCGAGCTGTTCGGTTCATGCCAAAGATATTTATTAGGGAAGGTGCTTCGCGCCTGGTCCGGTCTGCGCGCGACCACGACCTCTCGGCTGAACGTTCTGCGAAGCACCCATGCTTCTTTACCCTTCGTATGTACGATTGTATCGTTTTTGTGATGACCTGTGACCTCTTTAGTATGCGTAGATGAAGTCGACTCGTTTACGTTGAAACCAAAATTGTCATAAAATTACAAAAAAATGTTCAAAATAAATCTCGATAACGATACTCAGTCTCGTTTTTTCATTTGCCGTTATGATTGTAGAATTTGTAGTGATAATAGTGTTCAATAAGATTTGTTCTAAGAAAGAGATGACTGAACGATAGATGTTAGTGATTGTAAATATGGAAGCTTCGACATTATACGTTTCAATAAAAACATTTTGTGTTTTATTTACAAAAGACAAATTTAATATAAAAAGAACAAAATATACATAAATAGGTAGGTAGTATCAATATTGCGAATTGTTTAAGAATCCGACTCGTGGGTGTCGTACTCGTCACTCGTGAACCTGGTCTGTGATGGACGTGGTGGCCTGCTGAGCCTCAGTTGTGTGCTCTCTGTTCTATGATTTCCAAATACTTTCGGTGTCTGGATGTACGCACTCATGTCGACTACAGCAAGACGTGGCGTTTTTACGGCAGTTCCTGCAAAAGTAAGGTCCAAGTCCTGCACTAGTGTGTCCAGATATTCTACGTAGGAGATACGTTATCGATACAACGATTTTATACAAAAGAACACTCGTTTAGATAGGTACCTAATTGTTAACAAAAAGACAATTGGGGCAAAGTTGCACAAAATGGTAATAAAAATGCACTTCGACAAGGGCTCAATCAAAACTTGTCTATTTACGAGTAAAAAAATATATCCAAAGACTAATTAGTTTTGAGTAGTAAGTAACGGTAGGTACATAAATACCTACATTTATTTCAGTGATAAAGAAAAGCAGTCGAAGAAATATAAAGAAAAAAGGTCACAAATAGAAATATACCATAGGCACATTAAACTTTCATATCACATGTCTTGGTTTGGTAGACAGAACTTCTAACGAAAAGGGCAAATCAATAGGTATCTACGTCTTTGCTATGATTAGATCAGACATCGAACTTTTATTCTGTTTAGTCTGTATCTGTACCCTCCCTGTCTCTAACATAGTGTCACATTAGTTCATTGCTTCATTATTATACCTACTGTAAAATTGGGTAGGTAGTAGCTACCTACATACCTATTTATATCTTTTACTCAAACCAAGTGAATTACATAAGTACCTATTTATGTAAAAAGTAGAATTTTAAAGGTAACTTTAACCATTATTCGTGGTTATATACAGGTGTACCTAATCAAAAATACTTATGTATGTAGTATGATGACGACTACCTACCTGTAATTACAGGCAGTATGTGATCAATGTCTAGTACAGTTCTTGGTCGAGACTTCAGTATGGGACGACGTGAAAGCCTGGCTGGTAGAGCTTTCAAGGCAGGCGGGGATACTTTAGGCAGGGACGGTGACAACACTCGCCCAGCTAAAACACGTCGTTCAGGTGAAGAACTGGGTGACCTATGATAATTACAATAACCAACATAATTAGAGGTAAAATATTTGGCCGGTAATTACCTACATCGGTATGTAACTACAAGACAGACAGTTGATCAGACACTTGTGCCCAAAAGTATTTCTACAACAGTAAACCTCCAAGTTTCACAAAAGCTTTACTTTTCTGGCTTCTATCATGAAGAACTTTTTGTATGTTTTCTCAACACAAAGTTTTGCTCTGTTAGGTAAATTATGGAAAATTCCACCTTAGTCATGTCCTTGAACCAAAGCTACTTATAATTCAGGGGTTGAAATTGAAAGAAGTAACGCGTGTAAATCGGCAGAAACGCACTAACTCAGTTTTCAGTATGAAAATTTATACCAAAAAATGTATAGATATTCCTGGCTTTATGATGTTATCTACGCGCTTAGTTTACTTACTTACCTAGTTACTAGGTACCTACAAATTATATTTTAGCACCCTGTCTTCATTGAGCCTACCTAATAATTAAACTGTCAAACACCAAGCGGTCACCGGTGACCGCAACCTATTGTTCTATAATTGTGTCTACAAAACCGGTACTCGACGAGTTAAATACTAAATCCTTTAACTGTGTTGTTTTTTAACATGCTATGTCTATGTATGACACAATTCATCACAATTGGGTAGTTTCCAGGGTATCAAAATTAAAAATCGAATTAGTCCGTCAGTTAGACAATGAAAAATTAATATTAGACACGTATTTTTTTATTCTCTCGTATTAAGTTGCAATACTCAGATAAAATGGCGCTAAGTTTAGGAGTGGGATGTCATTACGTCATAACGTGCTACAAAATGTGGCACGCTATAACGTCACACGCTATTTTAAACTCGTCGAGTACCGGTTTTGTAGACACAATTATAGAACAATAGGTTGCGGTCACCGGTGACCGCTTGGTGTTTGACAGTTTAATATATCGTCGAAAGTACCTATTTAATTTTGCGAGAAAAGAAAAAATACGTGTCTAAAGTTTTAAATTATTGTACCAGACGGACATTAAAATAAAATTTAGGAAACTACCTACCCTATTGTCGGTAAACTTACCTAGGTTTAGGTATAGGTACTTTTGTGTGATTTATGTTTTCTGACTTTACATACCTAACACTGTCAATTATATTGATTCGTAGAAAGTAACAATATTTAGGTAGGTATTTCTCTGACCTGTCGCGTTCAATAACAGGTCGTCTCCGCCGCCGTCTGCCCCTTTGATCTTTCTTCTTACTCCGACCTACTCGCGGGGGAATGACCCCTATATGTCGATAGTAGTCACAAAGGGATTTTGCTAAAGATTTGCCTATTTTAGTATCTGATTGTCATGTTAAGAAATTATCTTAATTAAGGATGGAGTTGAGTAAGAATGATCAAATTAACACACCTACCTACATGTAAGGTAGGTACCTATTTAAATATGGTACGATAAGTAGGTACTTAAATTTTTTCTTTCAAATTACTTGACGACCTAAATTACCAATTAGTAGGTATAAAAAAAACGTTTGATTACCTATGCTTGCATTCAGTATAAAAGTTGGTACCTAACGCAAGTTAACCAAACAATAATATTGGTATTGAGTATTAATTAACTTATTAAGACAAGGATACATGCGTCTTCAGTATAATGTATGTAAGGTCCCCTAGGAGATAATCTTCTTCCGCCTAAAGATACCAATAGTGTGTAAGCGTCGATGGATCCCGAGGGCAGGGCTCGCCGAGCAGTGCCAGCCAGTAGAGAGTCGGAATTGTAGAAGCACGCCTCAGGCCGCCACGCTTCTATACGAGCGCCTAAAAACTTAGGAAGGACTGCCTGTCGTTCAAACCTAGGTAACGAACCAAACGATTAATTAAGATGAAACAGAAAATATTATGTCAATTATGTGTATGGCATAGCTAGAGCACCTAAATCACATTTTCAAATTCGATAAACTTGTAAGATACGGTACCGATGTTACAAGACGTAGGTTGGTAATAAAGTACGACATATGAAAGCCAAGAACAAGCAAATATATGTTTAAATTAGGACACATCTAGTAATGTCCGTTACTCTTCTAATAGAATAGACACGAAGTTACATAGCTTCATGGTTATATTGCACTTAGCCATTGCCAAGGATGTACTCACCTATATACGTCATCATAAGAGTTACCTCGTACAAACACTCCCTCGTGACTAATGTCTGCGTGAATGTCAATTATAAAATCCAACTGCACGTTCTGAAAGGCACAAAAACTGTTCAAAGTTATAATTATATTGGTGCACATATTAGTTGGTTATTCCTATAGGCACTTATATACGGCTTAGTTATGTGAACTAAGTATTTTATGGGATAAGTAGTCCGGCAAAGGAGCGGATCACCTGATGATAAGCAATCGGCGTCGCACATGGCCACCTGGGACACCACAGGCCGTAGGCGTTACAAGTGCATTACCGGCTTTACACAACGCAAGCGTTGTTTCACGTCGGTTTTCTGTGAGGCCGTGGTATCACTCCGATCGAGTCGGCCCATTCGTGCCGAAGCATGGCTCTCCCACACTCGAGTATTTGAGAATAGCACTACAGTAGGATACTATAGCAAGTAAGATAGTTATTACACAAATAATTTCTCGTAACCGTACCTAATATTACGCCTACACTACAGTCATTATTTAGCAGATAAACGTAGTCATACATTTCGATCGTTATTTAGTTAATCAGGAACAACTGCGATGCGACTCTATTATCAAACATGAAAGGAGTTGTATTTGCAAGATTGTAGGGAATTTCTGTCTAGGTAGGTACTCCATGCAAAGTTCGAACCAGGGTTTGAACTTAACGGCAGCACATTTAACCTTATTAATTAGTTCACTTACCTTTTCTGAGGCGAGTTTCTTAAGAAGATCGTTGACTGCAACTAGAGCAGGGTGCGCGAAACTGGTGGCTCGGTTCCAACACCGGTTGAGGTCACCGCCCAGCAGATCTGACCTCTGGTTGCCAAGGAACACGCCGTCTGGATTCAACATTGGTATTACCTAGTAATGACAATAACATTTTTAATTTTAAATAGGTGTACCTATTGGTGCTGAAATACGTAGTATTGAATTATCTCTGATCTATAATAATTAATAGGTACTACACTACTGAGGCCTAAAATGTCGTGGTGGCCCGGAGGTTAAGATGTCCGCTTCTCATGCATGAGGGTGCGGGTTCGGAACCTACCAACGGCAAGTACCAATGTGACTTTTTCCGAGTTATATGTACTTTCTAAGATTATTTAGACACCACTGACAAACGGTGAAGGAAAACATCGTGAGGAAACCTGGACGTGAGGAAACGAGTACGCGTTCGACGCTATGATTGACCGGGTCCAATGAAAGAATCAATCACAGCGCCGAGCGAGGTCTCGTTTCGATTTCTTTAAACGTAAGACAAACTTGTACTAAGCCCTCAGGTAATACTACACTAGTCATATTCCACGAAAACGGTTAACTATATATATAATGCTCATTGAAGTTCTGTAAATCTAACGGATCTAGTCGCCCATAAGGAATACCTAAGTGCCCCTAGTATCCCATACAGTTAAATACTTTCGAATTGTTTTCAGGTGACTAGTGAAGGGATAGGCAGAGGTGTACGCAGAAGTAACACCCACTTTTCACTATCTATGTTATGAGTCCCATGTAATAGGGTATGAGCCTATTAACTCCATGCTACTACTCAGATTTTTTTTTAAAAGCTAGTAATCTTTGCCCGACTTGTGAATCGAACCCGAGACCCCTTGCCCGTCAGTCGCACTTGCGACCACTCGGCCAACGAGGCAGGATCTTACGT